TTTTTTTTTTAAATTTTTTGATTTTTATTTCCTGGCTGCTGGTGCCAAGAGTGTTGATCGTGGAGCCAAGCAAACCAAAATTGTTAACAATCTCAACCTCTTCACCATCCATCCTGATGTTGCCAATTGGTCCAGTGGTAAGAATCTTTGTCTTCTTGACATTGAGCCTCAATCTATACTGAAGGCTGCAGTCCTTGACCCTCTGCAGCAAGTGCTTCAGGTCCTCCTCAGTTTCAGCAAGCAGGGTTGTGTCGTCTGCATAATGCAGATTGTTAACAGATCTTCCACCAATCCTGACACCACAGTTCATATAGCCCAGCCTCTGAGATAATCTGTTCTGCAATCAGGTTGAAAAGGTATGGAAATAGAATACATCCCTGGCATATACCTTTCCCAATTTTGAACCATGCCGTGTTTCCTTGCTCTGTTCTGACGACTGCCTCTTGGTCTAAGTATAGGTTTCACATTAGAACAATCAAGTATTCTGGGATTCCCATTCTTCTCAGAGTCAGCCACAGTTTGTTGTGATCCCCACAGGCAAACACCTTTGCATAATCAACGAAACACAGATAGACATTCCTCTGGTATTCCCTGCTTTCAGGTAAGATCCATCTAACATCAACTACAATATCCCTAGTACCATGACCCCTTCTAAACCCAGCCTGGACTTCTATCAGTTCTTTGATGTGCTAGTCCAGTCGTTTTTAGATAATCTTCAGCAAAATCTTGCTTGCGTGTGAAATCAGTGATATTGTTCTATAGTTTCCACACTCTGTTGTGGAGAAAGGAAGCAACCCTGATGCACACCTTTCCTGACTTGAAACCATAAGGTGTTCTCCTGTTTGGTTTTAACAGTTTCTGGTCTAGATTTCACATAAGCACAATTAAATGTTTGAGGTTCCCATTCTTTTCAATGTTAGCCATAATTTGTTAGAATACACACTGTCAAATACCTTTGCATAGAGAATAATTGCAAGGTTACATAGGTAAGCATCTTTCTGTTACTCTGTTTTCAATTTAACCACAATTTGTTGTACCAAACACATTTTTTTGTAAGTCAAGATTGTGTATACTAGCCTGCAAGGCTAAAATTCCATGCTAATTAACTGTTTGAGTCTCCTAAAGTGCTTTCGTCAGAGCTGTCCTCAGTACCTAATCAATGACATTTGATTCACTTGGTTTTCTCTTAAGGCATTAACATAGTGTTCTCAATGGAGTAGTAATTAAATGAAAAGGAGAGAAAAAAGTTAAAAGGTTTCTGTTCAATTACTGATTATGTAACCAATACTGCTGTTATAGAAGCATCTTACAATTTTGTGTTCATAAGAAATATTCCCTTTAAGCAGTTTACAACGGTATCACATATTGGTTTAAAATCTTAATAAAACTGTTTCTAACGGTTCGAATGTGCCAGAAGCACATTCTCTGCAGAGAGAAAAATGGGCTATCTCCCCTACTGCACTTTACAGGCTCCTAAAAGCCTGCTGGAGAGTCAGCTCCTACTCAAAGTTAGGAACCGATAGATTCTGTATACTTAAACAAGGAGGCCCGTGAAATATGCAAGGAAGATATGGGATGAGGATATGGGGGGTAGGCGGACAGGAGGAGTTACCACCCTAGTTGATTCTGTTGTTGTTGTTAAGTGCTGTCAAGTGGCAGGCGACTCATAGCGACCCTGGACACTTCCTGTATAACTTCCTGTCCTTTCTCCAGGTTCAAAGGGTTTCCAGAGGCAAGCTATTGTGGAAGTGGATGCCACTCCTGCTTCCAGGCTTGTTTTCATCGGGGAGCTTCACCAAACACTGTCCGCCATGGGTAACAGTATTCGGCTTCACAGCAACGACGAGTTACCTCTGTACAGCAAGTGGACATACCAAGGTTACACGACCTTTGGGGAGGTGATACCAACCCTAATTAATATCAATGCATTTGCTTTGACCTAGCTCAAAGTTTGGAGCCCACCTTCCAGCCCGAGCATTTGGCAAGACAGGAACATAAAGTAAGCGGGACTAATATACGACGTTTTCAGCTCACGGCTTAAATTCGAAGTACTGAAACTGAGTCCAAGACAAGATATTCAAGACAGAGCCCTAGAAGAACGACCACACTGGAGTAAGAATAAAACTACAAGAAAGTGAAATAAGAACCTCTGCAACTTATTACTTATTTCCTTTTTCCTCCTTTATCCCGCTCCCTCTCCACCCACTTCCCCGCCCACTTTGCTATCCCGCGTCCAGTTGGTGAAGATAAGTTCCGGAAAGAGAAAGTCCATCCGGGTGCTATGTCAGGCAGGACGGAAGGGCGTGGTTTAAGTCGTCACCCTGAGAGGTGGTGGCAAAGAAAGCATCGACTCAAGGGACTGAACACTCTGACGAAAGGACCATAAAAGCACCATGTTAAGGGAAAGGGGAGAATGTATTTATAAACTTCCTTTTGAGACAGAAATATTATTTATAGAGTTGAAATACAGAAACGAAACATAATAGTGGACTTATATCCACTCTTCTCTTTCTATGTTTCTTCTATATTTATTAATCCTGACAAACTTTCCCTCTTAAAGGTTTTTTCTCCCCCTGCGTGTGTACACAGATGGTAGAGTCCCGAGGCGTGCGCAACCGCAGAGGGTTCGGGGCGGTGCCGGTGAGGGGCGGGTGACTCAGTGGCCGTCGCTGCCATTTTAAGTTGTTTGTTCTTCCTTCTCCTCTCAAACGCGACTCTGCCCCGGACCTGGGAGGCGCTCGAGGCCGCCGCCGCTTCAGCAGCCACCATTGGTGGGGAACGAAGCTGTGCCACCTCGGACGCTCACCATCCGTTTCTGCTTTTCCCCTCTGCGTGTCTCCTCGACCTCCTTTGCTGAGAGCCGGACCTTGATCGTGAAGGAAGAGAGATTCGAGAGCAGATGCTTGAACTGAACTTTATCTTGGGGGGTTTACTTCGTTGACAGACCCCTTAGCACAGGGCTCCCCTTCCCTTCCTCCCCTCCCCCTCACTTTCATAGCATTCCTACACCCCTCCTCTCGTTTCCCTTTTCTTTCTCTCCAGTCCTGCTTCTTCCGCGTCCTTCCCCTCCGCCGCCGCCCGGGGCGCCGAGCCAGACTATGGGTCCCAGGTGGGGGCTGAGCGGCGGCAGCAGCGCGGGCGGCCTGGTCACAGTGCGCACTGCAGCGGGGATGGAGGGGCTCAGTTGGCTGGTGGTTTTCTCTTGACATGGCTCCTGCCAGTGCTGCGAGCAGCGCCCCCGCCGCCGCCTCCTCTTCCGCCGCCGCCACCGCTCCGCCAGCAGGCTGCGGCTAGAGGGCCCGAGCCCCGCCCGAGAGTCGGTCAGTGAGTCCCGGTCTCTGCGGGGACAGGGAGGGGATTTCCCTGTCACCTACGCCCCCGCCGCCCCATTTCCACCCCCTGCCTCCTCGGGAAACTGACGACCCCACCCCAAACAATCCAAACTCGGGAAACATGGTCTGTTCAACGTGAGGGAGCTAATCTGGATTCCGGAAACCTCATTTTCCTTTCTTTTTTTTGGGGGGGGGAGGGTGGGCTTAACTTTACAAAGTAATTCATAATAACCCATTAATTTCCTTCCCATTGATCCTACTCACTTATCCTCTCCCGCCTACTCTATCCGAGTGGGAATTGTTTCCACGATGAAATGAGAGAAAACGTGAGCGATCCATCGTCTCCCCCGTATTGCGAGTGAGTCGCTGCCGCTGAAGGCAAGGGGTGGGGTTGGGACCTAGGGGTAGAAGGCAGGTGGTCCCCGGGCACTGCCTGGGATTTGGGAGAAGACCCCGCCGCCTTTGGCTCAGCAATGCTCACCAGAAGATAATTCGCGCTTCCTATCATCCTGAAAGAAGATAGATTCATAGGGAAGGGTCCCTTGGGGAATGTAGGATTCTGCAGGTCTAGGGGTGTTGGGATCCCGAGCTTTACTGAGGTCTGACCACAGAGCTGGAATAATTACTCAATCGTGTTTTATCCTTTTCTCTTTGCCATCATGCTTCTCCTTGGCAGCAGCCTTAGCAGCCGCCTGAGGGTGAAAATGGGGGTGATGGGGAAATTGGTAATGACTCCGCTGTTTTTTCTCGTGGCTCCTTTGGGCAACAGCTGCCCGCCCCCGTTATATACTGTAGTTGATTGCTGGGAATATCTAGACCTCACCCCTTCCTTCTTTACCGATTTTGCACTTTCCTCTTTGCTCACGACCAAGTGTAATCAATAACAAGCACTGACAATACATAGCAATAGTGAAATCTGAAATAACGAAGAATTAATTCGGTACTACAGCCATGGATCTGGCTGGGTAAACTCTACAATTGGATATTTCAGTTTCATTCACCTACCCTGTTCCGGTGGTGTTTTGTTTTGGGTTTTTGTTTGTTTTTTGTTTTTAATTTCTTGTTTTGATTTTGTCTTTGGAAAACAAGGATCACACTCTTCCCCCTTCCTGTTCCTTTTCGTAATCCCCATTTCTTTATAGGGGGGGGGAATCTAAATGGGTTTTAAGGATTTTTAGACTGGTGTCAGCTGTCTCTTATTGCACACCTAAATCCTGAGAATAGGCTTTCGTTTTCCCCCAAAAGCCTTTTACTTTGGTAATTCAGCCAAATGTATTTTCCAAAAAGTTAGTTCAGGTATTCCCCCCCCCCTTTCTTTTCCTTCCTCATCTTCCTTTCCCTCCATCTGACTCCCAGACGTTATTGTCCAAACATGACTGGACAGCAGCTTTTGTTCCTTGACCCTGTAATATGACAGTCTGCTAATATTGCCAGGAGGTGCAGTTTTTTGGTTACAGTTGTGATTTTAGCAATTCAGTCATATTAGCAGGGGAGAAAATGACTTGTTTCTGTTGTACTTGAGTCTTAAGAAAAAGTGCCCATAGTTTAGCGACAATTTCCAAAGGCTTTAGTACCACCTGTATTTCAAAATGGGGGACCCAAACTCCCGGAAGAAACAAGCTTTGAACAGACTACGTGCTCAGCTTAGAAAGAAAAAAGAATCTCTAGCTGACCAGTTTGACTTCAAGATGTATATTGCCTTTGTATTCAAGGAGAAGGTAATTTAAAGTTCTTAAATGTCAATTAGCCTAAGTGATTTTTATGATAAGTGTTATCATTTACTTTTTAGTATTGTTAGGTTGAAAAGTCTGCTTTGTGTGCTCAGTAGATGATTCTATAGATTGTTTGCTATACAGCTGTGAATGAGTGACTTGAATATTCATTGGTTGAAAAAAGTTTAGGGTCTGCATATCATATGTATTTAGTTTGTGAAATTACATAGGAAGCTTCATAATGGAATTTAAAGATTATGCTATAAAGTAGAAATAGATCAAAAGTGTTAGATTGTAATCCAAATGTTATGTTAGAAATCAGCCTGTATTTTTCTCAACTTCATGATGTACGTGTGTTTTATGCTATAAAATTCAAAGCTTTCCAAAGAGGAAGTTTAAATTTCTTTGGTGGGAATTATAGTTTCAGTTAAACAACTTGAGTAGCAAGCAGCAAGCTGTTGAACAGTCAGGATGTAATATAAGTAAACAACAATTTTTTGAACTTAAACACTCTATGAAAAAATCAACAAGGCTGTTTGACTTGAAATTATGTTACCAGTAGGAGTAAGTACTTTTATTTCTGTAGGTAAATTGGGAGCTAATTTCAGATCAGCTCAGAAATACAGTAATACAGTTTAGTAATACAGAAATACTGTTTAGTAATTTGAATTTAGGAACATTCTTAATTGATAGGGTAGAGTAGTGTAAAACAGTTTTAAAAAATGCTTATCTTGAAGTTATACCACAGAATCACGTTCTCCCAAAGATTTTGCACCATTTTCTCGTTTTTAATAAAGATTTAAAATTGAAAAGATCAGTTTTTGTAGAAGATATGAGTAGGTTCACTAGAAAATGGATTTAGAAGTGGTGAGACTAGGTCTTTGTATTTAATCGAGAAGGTTCCCAACACTGTACCATTTGTTTTAACGTGTTGAAACTGTTCTGTGAATGGACAGTACCTATGCAATTCATGAGTAGTAGATTATCTTCCATATATAGAATGTTCTACATGAGGTTGAGTACTTGGTTTTACTTGATCTTGAAACTTGCCTTTGGTAGAATTTTTTTCTCCCCTTTTAAATATTGACATTTGTGTGGTTAAAAAATACCCAGGAAGAGAAAGAAAGCTTAACATGTTGTTTGTTATGTGCCGTCGATTCATTTGCAAATTACCAGCAACAGGTGATTGGTGAATACAGGTGATTGGTGAATATACAATATTACTATAAACCCAGGAACTTGGAAATTCTGTGGAGTAGAAATAATCAACCTCTCTGAAAAAAATCTTTATTTTACTTTCACGGGTAAAATGACTTGAAGCAGATAAAGAATTTTGCTGAGTTGGAATTAATATGTTTAACATTGTTTTGTGTAGAGAAAGTTAAAAGACACTGTCCTACCAATGGATTTTAAAAGGTGGGGTTTTTTTTTCTTTTAGAAGAAAAAATCAGCACTTTTTGAAGTGTCTGAAGTTATACCAGTCATGACAAATAATTATGAAGAAAATATCCTGAAAGGTGTGCGAGATTCCAGCTATTCCTTAGAAAGTTCCATAGAGCTTTTACAGAAGGATGTGGTACAGCTCCATGCTCCAAGATACCAATCTATGAGAAGGGTAAGTTTTTGAGTCTTGATTTGTTAGGCAAGTTTTCTTATATTGAACTTGCTTCCTCCTGTCTCATAAAAATGGGTAATTAACTGTGATGGTGAATATCTGTAGGCAGTACAAGTTTGGATACCCAGAAACCAAAGTTTTTATAAGGTTCATAAAACGTGACAGATCTTGTATGTAAGTGTGAGTTTAACATTTTAAAACTTTATTGTGGTAAAATGAACATTTGCAATTTTCACATGTAAAGTGAGTTTGAATATTCAATTAATAGCCTTTCTAGCCATAGAACTGTGATCTAGCCTCCAGAATTTGACACATTTCCATCATGTTTTCAAACTCCTAGTTTAAATATCTGCTATGTTTATGTTTTAACACATATTTCGGGCATGTTGCTAGCAGAGGCTGTTCTTGGGGAGAAACATGATGCTCGGAAAGGTAGAGGGCAAAGGAGAGGAACACCCTTAACCAGGTAGATTGACATGATGACTACTGCATTCGGCTTTATAATGTGTCTGGAAGTGTGAGGCTAGGATAGGACAGGGTTCAGATCTGTTTTTCATAGGGTCGCTATGGTTTATACTGTACTCGATAGCACCTAACAACAATTGTGTTTGTAGTTTTAGAAAGAGAAACAGCAAATCCCTTGCCTTTGAGTCTGTTCCAATTCATGGCAACTCTTGTATGCCAATAGTATTGTTCTTGTTCCTGGAGTTTTCAGTTGCTGATATTTAAAATTAGATCACTAGGCCTTTCTTACAAGATGTCTCTAGGAGTGCCTGAACTTTTGTTAGCCACTGAGCTTTAAAAGTCAGTTTCAAATAAAACATGTATAGATAACTTTGTTTATGTGGTGTTAGTAATGTTTTTCTTTTATTGGAGAAGCCTAACATCATACCTCTTGATAAATAAGAAACTTAGCATGTTGTATATATTGGTGCTAACCTTCTAAACTTCTGCTGCATATTGAGAGTAACTATTATGTACTTGGGCAAAAGATCCTCACCATTAATAATAAGATAACCATGTACTGGTTTGGTAAAAGGCTTATTAGTCTTTAAAATTGTGTGTTGGGACTTTGATAATGAAGGGGAGCAAGAATGTAGAAAACATAGTATCCTATCATTATATATAAAAAATAGCATTTCACCCATAATAAGGAAATCCCATGATTATTGCTAGATGATTTTACTTAAACACGTTCTTGTTTTAAAAACTAAAATAAAGCTATGGGGACTTAACAAAGCTAGAGCTTTACACACAGCCATGATGGTCAAGACAGTGTGGTACTTGTACACTAACAGACACATAGATCAGTGGAGTAGAATTGAGAAGCCAGAAATCTGCTCCTCTACCTATGGTCAGCTGATTTTAGAAAAGGAGACAAAGTCAGTTAAGTGGGGAAATAAAAAAGCCTCTTTAAAAAATGGTGTTGGCAGAATTGGGAAACTATAGAAAACTCAAGCAAGACCCACACCTCACACAATACACAAAGCCAAACTCAAAGTGATCAAGGATCTAAAACCAAGGACTAGAACTCTAGAAACCCTAATCCATAATATGAACAATCTTCCAAGCACCCTGAAGAACCTACAACTGGGAGAGAACAAAATAGATGAATGGGACCATCTTAAAACCAAATCCCTATGCACATCAAAAAACTTCTCCAACAGGGTAAAAATGAAACATACGGATTGGGAGAAAATATTTGGCAATGATATGTGATAAGGGACCTATATATAAAATGTATAGAATACTCCAGCACCTTAACAAGAAAAAGGTCAACAACTCAGTTGCAAACGGGCCCAGGATATGAATAGACACTTCATTAGAGAAGATATTCAGATGGCAGACAGACACATGAAGAAATGTTAAAAATCCCTAGCTATCAGAGAGCTGGAAATCAAAACAATTAAGATACCATCTCACCCCATTAACAGAAGCAAAGTTCAGTAGACTAGCAAACAACAAATGCTGTTGAAGTTGTGGAGAGAGTAGAACTCTTATTCACTGCTGTGGGAGTGTTAAATGGCAAACTCTATGGAAAGCAGTCTGACACTTCCTCAAAAAGTTGGAAATAGACCATTGGTCCCAGCAATTCCACTATTAGGAATATCCCTAAAGAAAGTAGAGCTGCCACCCAAACAGATACATGCACACTCATGTTTATTGCTGCGTTATCCACAACAGCAAAGAAATGCACACAACCCAAATCTCATCAGCAAATGAGTGGATGGATAAAAAACTATGGTATATTCACACAAAGGAATACTGCACACTACATATCACTGAAGAACAAGGAACTGTAAAACATTCCATAACATAGGTGACCCTGGAGGATATTATGCTTAGTGAAATATTTCCGTCCAAAAGGACAAATACGGCAAAACACCACTGGTATAAAACTTGGGGAGAAACTAGGAAAAGAAGGGATAGATAATAAACAATACGTTGGAACAGATGAAGGAAAGAATTGTTTAAAAGGAATGTATGATTAGGTGTTATTTGTATGACAATAGTCCAGAAAAGAGGTGCATAACAAAGTGTACTAGGGGAAGGGTGGGGGTAAGAGAAGAAAATGTGTAGCAATGATTGAAAATCCAGCTTCTTTGTAAACTTTCATTAAAATCACAATTTAAAAAGTTATAAAATATTTAAAGAACCTCGTGTGCTAAAGCACTCACACAAACTAAAGCTTTAGTAGTTTTCAGCAAGCATTGGTGAATCTAGGCCTTGATGTGAAAAAAATGTTGGGGTCTGAGTGACTTTCGGGTGGAATTTACAGACTAAAACTTAGAACTGGGTCATTTGACATTCTTTTTTTTTTTTTTTAGGATGTAATTGGCTGTACTCAGGAGATGGATTTCATTCTTTGGCCTCGGAATGACATTGAAAAAATTGTCTGTCTCCTGTTTTCTAGGTGGAAGGAATCTGATGAGCCTTTTAGGCCTGTTCAGGTATTTTATTCTAATAAAAATATAAAGAACACTTCAGTAAATGAAAACTTATGAAAGAGGATCTAACTAGAGACATTCTTCAGAAAAAAGCTAATAAGTTTTGCTTTCATAAGTTCCTCATGTCTTTTTGGATGTTGTGATGGGAAAGGAGAAAGCATTTGAATTTTGCTGAATTAAGATTGAGGTGATATCTATGTCTTTGAATTTGTGACCAGATAAAATATTTTAAGGTAGATATATTTGTTTTTGTTGTTGTGTAGTGACAGTCGGAACTGACCCATAGCTCACCGTCAGTTTTCAGAGACTGTTAATCACAGGGGAGGAGATTGCCCATCCTTCTGAGGAGCAGCTGGTGGTCTTGAACTGCTTGCCTTTGAGATTGCAGCACAATTGCTTGCCACTAGGCCACCAGAGCTCAGTATTTACTAATTGATACATTTCAACAAACAGATGCTACCCTAGATGTCCTCACCAAGTTATGCCAAGAAATCAGGAGGACAACTGACTGGCAGAGATCTATATTCTCATTCTAAAGAAAGGTGATCCGACAGAGTGTGGATATTCTCAAACAGTATCATTAATAGCATATGCAAGATTCGGTTGAAGATTCTCCAAAACAGTTGGAACAGCACATCAACAGAGAACTGTCTGAAGTGCAGGCTGGGTTTAGAAGAGGCCGGTACTGGGATACTGTAGCAAGATGGATCTTGGCTGAAAGCAGGGAGTACCAGAGGAACGTCTGTGTTTCATTGTCTATGCAAAGGTGTTTGACTGTGGACCACAACAAACTGGCTGATTCTGAGAAGAATGGGAACACTTGATCTTGGTTATGCAAAACCTATACTTGAACTAGGATACAGTTGTTAGAACAGAGCAAGGAAACACTGCGTGGTTCAAAATTGGGAAGAGTGTGCGATAGAGATGTATCCTATCTCCATACCTTTTCAATCTAGATGGAGAGCAGATTATTTGGGAAACTAGGCTCTATAAGGAGAAATGTAGCATCAGGATTGGAATTACACTCATCAACAATCTGCGTTATGCAGGTGACATAACCCTGCTGAAATTGAGGAGGACCTGAAGTTCTTGCTGCAGAAGGTCAAGGACTGCAGCCTTCAATATTAAAGCTCAACATCAAGAAAACAAAGATGCTCACTGCTGGGCCGATTGGCAACATCATGATAAATGGTGAAGATTTATGTCCTCAATAACCCAATGGAAGGATGTCTTGATTCAAAATTACTTGAGTGTGTGTGGATCAAAAAATCTATAGGATAAGAAACTCAGATGTCGTAGTGGATTAAGTATTGGCCCATTGGGAAAAAATAAAACAACCACAACCCACCTCAAAAAACAGTTGCTTTGAGTCAGCTCTAGCTCATGACAACCTCATGTATTTAAAGTAGAATTATTCTATAAGGTTTTCAGCAGTTTGTTTGGGTTTGTTGTGGGGTTTTTTTTTTTTACTTCTTTTTTTTTTGGAGGTAGATTATCAGACCTTTCTTTAGAGGTATTTCTGAGTTGAGCTTTCAACCATTCTGCTAATGGCTAAGCATGTTAACCATTTGTATCACACAAAGATTGTATCTGTGTATTTATGTCTTGGAATGAATAGCTGATTAGCATGACTCAAATTTAAGTTGCGTACAAAAGAAGTGAGAATGAAAGAAGGGAAAAAGTTTGTGAACTGTTACAGGGCATGTCTTCCAAGCCCCTAATTTATATTTCGTTGTCACAGCGACCTTATGTACAACAACCCTACACCCTGCTCTATCTCTTGCCAGTCTTACTTGTCTCTGACACACCTATCCCCATTATCACAGTGACTGAATCAGTCCATCTCATCAAGGGTCTTCCTCTCCTGTGCTGTCCCTCCACCCTCTCATGCATGACATCCCTCTCCCAAGGACTGATTCCACCTTGCAACATGTCCAAAGTATGTCAGACGAAGCTTCAGAATCCTTGCCTCCAAGGAGCAGCCTGGTTTCACCCTCTCTAGGGCGAACTTGTTTGTTCTACTAGAAGTCCATGTTATATTCAATACTCTTCTCCAGCCACACAGCTCAAAGTCACCAGTTCTACTTCTATCATCCATAGTCATTGCCCAGCTCTCTGATGCATAGCAAGTGATTGCAAAGACCATGGCTTCTCTCAGGTGCACCTTAGTCTCTAGACTGACATTGTTGCTCCTTAGTACCTTGGAGAGGTTTCTAACAGAAGACTTTTCCATCGCATTAAGTCTTTTATTGTCCAGAGTGCTGATTGTAGAGCCACACAAACCGAAGCTGTCAACAATCTCAATCTCTTCATGATGCTGCCAGTCAGCCCAGTGGCGAAAATGTTTTCTTGATGCTGAGCTTCAGTCCATATTGAAGGCTATGACAGTCCCTCACCTTCTGCAGCAAGAACTTCAGGTCCTTCTCAATTTCAGCAAGCAGGGTTGTGTCATCTGCATAATGCAGTTGTTGTTGATTATACCTCCAATCCTGATGCCACACTTACCATAGAGTCCAGCCTCCTGGATAATCTGTTCCGCATATAGATTGAAAAGATAAGGAGATAGGACACCTCCTTGATGCATACCCTTCCCAATTTTGAATCATGCAGTGTTTCCTTCCTCTGTTCTGACACAATCAAGTGTTCGGGGATTCCCATTCTTCTCAGAGTCACCCACGGTTTGTTGTCCTCCACACAGTCAAATGCGTTCGTATAGTCAATGAAACAGACATTCATCTTGTACTCTGTGCTTTCAGCCAACATCCTCTGACATTAGCTATAATATCCCTAGTGCCGTGGTCTCTTCTAAATCCAGCCTGCACTTCAGGCAGTTCTCTGTTGTTGTGTAGTTCCAGTTGTTTTTGAGAACCTCCAGCAGAATATTTCTTGCATGTGATATCAATGATAATGTTTGATAATTTCCACACTCTGTCAGATCACCTTTCTTTGGAATGGGAACAAATACAGATCCTGCCAGTCAGTGGGCCAGGTGGTTGTCCTTCAGATTTCTCAGCACAACTTGATGAACACATACAGGGCAGCGTTTGTTTGTTAAAATGTGTCAATCATATACCATCAACTCCTGGGGCCTTATTTTTTGCCAATTGTTTAAGAGCATTTTGCACTTCATCACCACAGGCTCTTGCTCATACGTTGTTTCATGAAATTCTCCTGTGTCCATGAATTCCTTTTGGTACAATGACTCAGTGTACTCTTTCCATCTTTTTTAATGCCTCCTGGATCATTTAATAATCTGTCCAAAGCATCCTTAAGTATTACAACTCAAGGTTAGAATTTGTTCTTCAGTTCCTTGAGCTTAAGAAATGCTGAGCGAGTTCGGCCCTTTTGATTTTCTGACTCCAGTTCCTTGCACATTTCACGGTAATATTTTACTTTGTCTTCCCATGCTGTTCTCTATGTTAGTATTCCCCCCCCCCATAAAGAATTTCCCATTCAAAATTAGAAGTCCGTTATTCACCTTGTCACCTCAGCTTTCCATGAGACCTTATTTTGAATAAACTTGTCATGAGTTAGAAAGGATATTTTTTTTAGGCATTTTCTTAAATATTTTATATGTATTTTATCTAAGTCGTTGCAAGTCATTTATCAGCTTCATTATGCAGAGAAAGAGACTGACAAAGATTAGGTAATTAATGTGCTCAAGAACATTCTTTTGAGTGGCAATCAAGGTATAAACCTAGATTGATTAAAAAGCTTATGTTGATAACCCTTAAACTACTCTGAAAAGTTCCCTGTGTTAAAAAACTTTACAGTCTGGTCTGAAACTTTAAATATAAATAACCTGGATAAACATGAACATTCTTTAAACTTTAAAGTGCTTTAAAATCTAAATACTTTGGCAGTGAGCTTTACTATGAACGAAAAGATTGTTTTTAAATAATAAATTTCTAGTATATCCAGAGTACTATAAAATATATATTTCCTAAAGCTAATGGCCCAGGTTGTCACTTCTACTATTAAAATATTTTATTACTTCTCTTTAGAATTTCTTCCAAGGGGAGCTCTGGTGGCCTAGTGGTAAGGAACTACAACTAGACTCTCAGAGGTTCACGGTTCGAATCCACCAGATGCTCTGCCGGGGAAGGAGGGACAATCTCCTCCTGTACCAGTCAGATCTGATTTGACGGTACACTCACACAAAAACAATAAAATAAAATAAAATAAAATAAATTAGAATTTCTTCCAGAAACCCTGTGAACTTGGTGAAACGAAAGTTATACAAGTGTTCAGGTCTTTTTGTTCATAGAATCACTGAGTCATCTATGACTCGACGGCACTTGATAAAAGCAACAGTGATCCTTATAAGAATTTTCATTTTTGTGTGGAACATTCCATCTTGTCCTTATTTACTGGACATCTCACATGCATAGCAAGTAATTGAAAAGACCATAGCCCGAATCAGATTCTTGAATCTGGACAATGAAAAAGGATGACAAAAGAATTCATGCCTTTCAGCTATGGTGTTGGACAACAGTACTGAATATCTCATGGACTACCAAAAGAACAGACAGTTATCTCTTGGAGAAAGTCTAGTCAGAGTGTTCCTTGGAGGCAAAGATGACAAATCTTTGTCTCATATACTTTTGTACATGTTTTTGTTGTTTTTAGATGCTGTCAAGTTGAGCATGGCTCATAGCGATGCTGTGAACAAAAGATCTGAACCCTGTTCTATCCTACGCCATCCTTACACACAAGAGCCCACTGAAGCAGTCACCTTCAACCCACCAGGTTTAGGGTCTTTCTTGTCTGTGCCGACCCTCTGCCTTTCATGTCCCTTCCCTAGGAATAGCCCCTCCGAGCAACATGTCCAAAGTATGTGAGTTGAAGCCTCATCATTCTTGCCTCCAAAGAGCACTCAAAGGGCATGTTTTTAGGAGAGGAATATAATGCTTGGAAAGGTGGGGGGTCAGTTAAAACGAGGATGACCCTCAACCAGATAGATTAACACAGAGACTACAGCAATCTGCTCGAGTATGTCCTATTATGAGAATGACACAGGATAGAGGACATAGTTAGGATCTATTCCTAGGGTTACTGTGGGTTGTACTAGATAGCACCTAACAACAATTCTTTCTCAAATTTCATGACTTACCTATTTTCAGTAGAATACAATTGAAACACACTTCATTTCTGTGTTATAATCTAATAGCGTCTTCTACCCATTAGTTTTTGCCATGTTGAAATACTTCAACTTCTGTTTGAACAATATATTGACTTTAATACAGTATATACCTTGTATTGTTCCTATTGTTAAATGCTCTCCAGTTGACTACAACTGGGTGTTCTGAACAACAGATTCAAACCTTAACCTACCTTGCACCATCCTAACAATATCCCACACGTCAGCCCCATAGTAAAGTCACTGTGTCGATCAATCTAGATCTTTTTTTTCCCCTTTCACTGACCCTGTGCCTTTCCCAGCATGATGTCTTTTTCCAAGTATTGGCCCCTCCTGAAAAAATGCCCCAAGTATGTGAGACAAAGTTTCATTATCCTTGTCTCTAAGGAACACCTAGGGTTTTTTTCCAAGATGGATTTGTTCTTTTGGTAGTTCATGGATATTCAGTTCTCTTCTCAAACATCTCAATTCAAAAGGTCTTGATTGTTACTCAGTCTTCCTTATTTATTGCCCAACTTTCAGATGCATAGGAAGGAATTGAAAATGCTGTGTCTAGGATCAAGTGAACCTTAGTGTTTAACTGATATCCTGACCATTCTGCATGATAGAGAGGTTCTTGGTGGCAGATTTTACCAGCTGAACACTTCTCTTTCGATTTCTTGCAATGGGTATCGTTTGTGGATCTGTTTTCTAGACTGGCGTTTGAACAGATTACTAGCCATTATGATTACCATTAGTGAATGGCTTACTAAACAATACTTTGTTCTATTTAAGAGGTTAGAAGTACAAATTCAGAGTACCTAGCTGGGGAAGACTTATCTTCTCTCTCAGTGATGTAGAAAAGTCCTTGTTTTCTTTAGCATCTGTAGGCCCAGGTGAACCTCTCTAAAAGTGGACATTTTTTATATATTTATATATGTATTTATATATGGCTTCCCATTTCAAATCTAGGTCTTTTTATATAAAAGTTCATAAGTTGTACAGGAATACAAAGGAAAGATTATTAAAGTTAGCATCTAAACATTTTTACTTTTTCAAAGACATTCTTAATTACATTAGCAAAGAAGTTACAGAGGAAATAAAATTAAGACAACAGAAATACAATGTTACCAAAGTAAGGAATTATTTGAGTCAAGTCTCTTTAAGTTTCTTAAATTCTAAATTGAACTTTGTCTTTTTATCTAGTATTTGGCCTCACAATGATAACCACAGAAATTTGTCATTACATAACTGCAGAGCCACAGAGTTTCATTTTCCAGCCAATTTGACTCATAACTTTAACCATCGCAGCCGTTATTACTCTCCCATCTAGTTGTATGTTACTTATTGTTAGTGTGAAGAACAGAAAGTAGATATTTTTGCTTTGTTGTAAACACAAAAACTGGATGATGAGGTAGCTGGTAAGTGAGGAGTAGATGTAGCCTGAGGTTGATTATTTTAAAGTATATAAAAAATTAAAAAAAAAAACATTAAGAGGTTCATAAATTTTATGAAACCCATCTCCAATGTGGAATTTGGAATTTATATAGAGTAGGCTTAACATTAAATCTTTTTACCATCCTCTGAGTTGGATAGAAGACTTGTTTTATAGATGAGAAAGCTGAAATTTACAAGTAGTAACTTGAGGATTTGTTACATCACTAGTGTCATAGAGGAACTAAATTTTAACTTTTGTTTTAAATAGCCACATATGGCTATTGGTTGCCATACTGGCAAAAGCATATGGGTTCAGTGGATGGATCAAGTAGTGTCACATTTTTGTAAAGTTTACATAAATATTTGTATTTGTCATTTAGGCTAAATTTGAATTTCATCACGGTGACTATGAAAAACAATTTCTGCATGTACTGAGCCGCAGGGACAAGACTGGAATTGTTGTCAACAATCCTACCCAGTCAGTCTTTCTCTTCATTGACAGACAGCACTTGCAGGTAATAAGTTTTATTTATTTGTGATTTGATTAAAAATTTATAGAACTTGGTATTCCATTCAGCCATTCATGCCTACTTTGTCTTAAGACATTGAATTCTGTACCCACATTATATCAGCAGTCTTCCTCTCATCTCCCATGTTTCCATTTTTCTTTCCTATCTTCTGAGCTTTGTTTTAACTAAGGCAAATGCTGCCCTTGTCATCTTGTATTATTGTTTGTTCTAAGGACTCTTTATTTCCCTGAAGTTACTTAACTCTCATTCTACCTGGGACCTTCTTTTTTGGAAACTCAGCTGAGGTAACTGGGTATTGTATAGTACTTCAGGTCTCCCTGTTGGTGAAGTTGTGGTTCATGGGGTCATTTGCCATGCACTATTTCTGTGCATCTTTACTTCCACCCCCCAACCCCCCACCCCAGATATGAATGAAGCACCTTAGATGATTGTTCTGTAGATGAGGGGGTTGCACCTTAGACATTTTTATGATTTTAAGTCTCCAGTAGATCCCTGGTGGTGTGTGCAGAACATTGTCTTTGTGGACTACGTTAATGGTCTTGATGTTACCCAAGATTATGATTCTGAGGTCTCATGACCAGCAATTCTTTTTCCCTCTGAGTGTTTGGCTATGGTTAAGAAATCTATGTAACTTTGTCCCCTTTTTGACTTATAATATACATGAGGATATTTGCAGTGAATACAAATGTACATAGAGAAATAGTATCAGACAAACCTATATATGATTTAAGATATAGTCCCTTTTATTTGCCTATATCTGTTTTGTTTATCTTACCCATATGCCTATACATAACCACTTGTAGGTTTATGGTTATTTGTAATGTAAGACTGCATGGAATGGCCAGTAATTTCTTCTTACTTCTCTATGCCTTTTTAAGTGATATAACACTACAATCTTCTTTTTTAAAAACAAAACAAAAAAACAACAACAACCCATATGTCCTGGGCTTGCCCTAGAACGGTGGCTCCCAAACTTAGTAGTACTTTTGAGACTATCTTGGAAACTTTTAGCAATCATGACTATAATTAAAATTTAAGAACTACTGCCTTGCAACAAGTAATAGATGTTGGAGAGGATGTCGTAAGAAAAGAACTCTTACACATTGTTGGTGGGATTGTAAAATGGTGCAACCATTCTGGAAGGTAGTTTGGCTCTTCCGCAAAAAAGCTGAACATAGAAATTCCATATGACCCAGCTCTTCCACTACTTGGAATATATCCTAAGAAAATGAGAACTGACTGAGGCACAAACTGAGATTTGTACACCAATGTTCATAGTAGCATTATTCCCCATAGCATGGAAACAGCCCATCTGTCCAACCACAAACAGATGGATTGAGAAATTAGGGTACATTCACACAGTGGAATACCATGTAGCACACAGGAGCAATAACTTTGTAAATTATTATCTAACTTGGGAGGGACTGGAGAACATTATGCTGCAAGACTGTTATGGTAGAATGAGTATGGGGGTGGGGGGATGGAAGCAGAGAAATGTGGATGTACAGAGTGTAGAGACAATTAATCATTGGATTGTACAATTTGATGGGTGAGGGAAATTGAAAGAATTTATTCAAATTTTTATTAGAATTTTGTAAATAAACTAAGAACTACTGCTGTGGAGCTTTTCTGGTCAGCAGGCCAGATTCAGTTGGGAACCTGTTAAAATGTAGAATCCTAGCTAGTCGTGGCCTTCTTAACCATCTTCAAGTAATACATTATATTTTGAAACGTATTAGCCTCTATCTTTTAAATCAGAATTTTAAGGAATCAGGTTACATTTGGAATTAAAAATATCTTCATATACTACAAGTAAGCAATTCCATTTTTTCCGTGGTTCAAAATTGGGAAGGGCGTACACCAGGGATGCATCCTATCTCCATACCTTTTCAACCTATATGCAGAACAGATTATCCGGGAGGCAGGGCTTTATGAGGATAAATGTGGGGTCAAGATTAGTGGACGATTTATCAATAATCTGTGTTATGCGGATGACACAACCCTGCTCGCTGAAACTGAGGAGGACCTGAAGCGCCTGCTGCAGAGTGTCAAGGACTGCAGCCTACAATATGGATTGAGGCTCAATGTCAAGAAGACAAAGATTCTCACCACTGGACCAATTGGCAGCATCAGGATGGATGGTGAAGAGATTGAGATTGTACACAGCTTTAGTTTGCTTGGCTCCATAGTCAACAGTCTTGGCACCAGCAGCCAGGAAGTTAAGGCGCATTGCCATGGGAAAGTCTGCTGTTAGGGACCTCTCCAAAGTGCTGAAGAGCAGTGGTGTCTCTCTGGAGACTAAGGTGCGTATGATACAGGCCATGGTCTTCGCAATCACCTGTTATGCATCAGAGAGTTGGACAATGACCAAGGAGGATAGAAGGAGAATTGATGCCTTTGAGCTGTGGTGCTGGAGAAGAGGATTGAGAATACCATGGACTGCTAGGAAAACAAACAGATTTGTCCTGGAAAGGGTTAAACCGGGTGGCTCCTTGGAGGCAAGGATTCTGAGGCTCCATCTAACATACTTTGGACATGTTGTGAGGAGAGACCGGTCCTTGGAGAGGGACATCATGTTTGGGAGGGTGGAGGGACAGCGCAGGAGAGGAAGGCCCTCTATGAGGTGGATTGATTCAGTGACTGGGATAATTGGGATGGGAGTGCCAGAGACAGTGAGATTGGCACAGGACAGAGCGGAGTTTAGGGCTGTTGTACATGGGGTCACTATGAGTCGCAGGCAACTCGACGGCACATAACAACAACAAGCAATTCCAATTTAAGCAGTTCTCCTAAGTATTCAAAATGGTTTCTAATTTTACAAAATACGGTTTATTCTCAGTCTCAGTTTATTTTACAATAATTCATAGTATGTTACTAACTTACAAAATCAATTTCATTCTTAACTGCTGGTTAGTAGGAATCAACTCATAGTAAAATGTACAGCAGATTTTTTGAGTCTATATATCACATGGGAGGAAATTGTCCATCTTTCTCCTGAAGAGTGACTGCTGGATTTGAATCACCAGAAAGTGCTGGCTGCCAGGCACGATAGTGAACATGGTAAACAGTAATTTTTGCCTTCAGGAAATTTTACATGGGAGACCTGTCCTTGGAAACTTAGGGTGGTTCTACTCTTGACTTGATGATACTGGATATTTTCGTATAATGTCAAATGTGTCAGTGCCTGGCCTTCTGGAAGGTTGCTTGGTTACCCTAATAATTGTGGACGAATTTGGTCTTCAGTGCTTAGTTTTCCTTAAGAAGATCCATGATGAAAGTCCACATTTCATTGTAAACTCTACATAACTTGAAAATGTATTTGTATTCTGTAAAAGAGTTCATGAGAGAGAGGCTATTAGAATGGCCAACACATACATAATGTATTATGGGCCAGGTTGTATGCTAAGCACTTTGCTTATAATCTTATAAAATCCTCATGACAATCCTCTGAGGTGAGAGTATTAATACTTTGATTTTAAAATTAAAGAAGCAAGCAATTGAGTAAAGTAATAAAAATCACTTAATCTTGTGCATTAATCATAATGCATGATTTATGGATTATGATTTATGACAAGGAATAAAGGAGAGCCTTGGGTAAGCAGGTGGGTTAAAGCCACATACTTGGAGTCAGTGGATTCCAATACAAATTACTGTGCAACCTTGTATAAGTAACTTATGTGAGCATATTCTTCTGTCATATTGATCTTCATAAAGTTGTTTGGTTGGAATGAATTTATATATATATACATAGGTTCATCTGCATATATAGACTTTCTCTAGAATGATTTCCCTCCTCATTCCTTTTTAAGAGATACTTTAGTGGTGTAGTTGGTTATGCATTGTGCTGTAAACTGAAAGTTTAACAAGTGAAATCACTAGCCACTCCACAGGAGAAAGATAGGCAATCTCCTTTCGTAAGGATTTGTAGGTGCTGAAACTTGATGAAAGATTGCTGAGTCAGAATTAACTCCATGGCAGTGAGTGTGGAGAAAATTACTTCAGTAGATATGGAGTTCAGATTTTTATCTCAGTCGAATAGCAGTGGTTGGTTGTGAAAACACCTAGCGTACTTATTTACCACAAGTTTGGTTTTCAAATAGTTAATACTTTTCTTACTTTATTCTACCCCTTTGCCCCAGGACATACTTAGATATTTCATTTCTACTTTTGTATAGCAAAAGCCTTGTGTAACAAGGCTCTTATTCTGACTTAAGTTTCTTGTGAGCAATGACCATATTTTATTCCTTATTCTGTGTACTTTATTATAGGTTATTAAGAATATTACAATTCTTCCCTTTCTAGACTCCAAAAAACAAAGCTACAATCTTCAAGTTATGCAGCATCTGCCTCTACCTGCCACAAGAGCAGCTCACCCACTGGGCAGTTGGCACCATAGAGGATCACCTCCGTCCTTACATGCCAGAATAGAGCACTGACCAGCAAAATGGAGAAGATCAAAGAATGCAGCAGCAATGTTTTCTTGTTTTCTTACCACTTTATTCTTTCAGAGTTTAAGGAAAATGGACTCATGCACAGACACTATGCATTTTGAAACTTGTTCATTCTGGATTTTTTTAGAAAATCATTTGTATCTCAGAACTTAAAAAAATTAGATGTCTTCTGCACGGACTGTGAAAGAAGATGCTTTGCATATTTGCTGCACTGCATCAGCATCTTACTAAAAATGTGATGGGAAAGGACTATTGTACATTGAAATGCTTAGATGTATCTGAAAGCAGAAGGTGATACTCACTTTTGATGATCTTTCCATTAATGCTGGTTTTTGCCTGTTTGACATCTGTCATCAGAATTTAGAGGGTGAGAAGTGAATGTAACAGGTATAATAACATTTTAAAAAAATGTAATAGCTTTGCTATAATCACCGTTGTTCCAGAGCACTGTCAGATTCATTCTAACAAGAAGTGGTTGTTTAAAAAAAGCAACAAATCAACAACAAAACAACCATGGGAAAGAAATCTTAAATGAAAAAAAGCATCTCATTGTAGGCATTCTTGCCTCATATTTTACTGGGCTGTGTTTGTTTCCTGGTACTCATAAATATATGTTGGGTTTTTTTTCCAGATCTCTTTCCCCAGTTGCTGTTATAAAGTATTCTGCTAAGTGTAGTTACAGTTACACACATTCAAGCAGATCTGAGGTCTGACTGATGTAGCTAATGCAGCTATAAACTGAGAATATATTCATAGCTGAAGAAACAGTGATAGGTAGAAGTTTCTCCTTTTTTGACATTTGTTTTATTTTGTTTTGGGGTTTTAAAGAGAGTTTTATTACAAAGAAAAAATTCAGTAAATTGTGAATAAATACTGGTTTCTACACCATGTTAAAGTTTTTGGGGAGAAAGAAAATTGAGATCTTAAATTTAAACAAAAATTGAAGGTCAAAAGGCAGAATTCATTTTGTGCAATGAATATAAGGAAAGACTACTGTATAGTTTTATGTTTTGTTTTCTTTCAGATGAAGAAAAGCTTTGCAAGGGTTGCATACTTACTGGAGTAAATCTGAATGATCCTACTCCTCCAGAGTAAAACTAGTGCTTACCGGTTTCCAGTTGTATTTAGCTTCTGGTTGGAATTTGAAAAATGAAAACCTAAATAAAATAGGTGCAAATCCCCTGACTATTCAGGTGAATACAAAAAACGTGTAGTAGTAGTTTTTTTTCTCAAGTAACGGAATAAATATTATTTTACTGTTAATTACCGTGATGATCTTAATATAGCAGAATGGAACATTGCCTACTCTTGTGCCATCTTTCATGACTATTGGTATTTATAATTTATGTTAAACAATCAGTAAATTGGGGGTAGAGCTGCGGGTATTTGAGCCAAAATAGCTAATCAGAGTATATTATTAGCTTTAAAAAGATAGCAGATTGGCCATATGTCTTGCTTCATGGCAAAGGGAAAAAAACCCCACAGATTCTCATCAGTTGACTAGAGTCTGTCTAAAATAACATGAATATCTTATCATGGTCAGGTATTGGTCTACTTAATGTGATGCCAAAAAAATTCATCAAGTGGTTAGTATGGTGACTTCTGAACTTCTGAGATAGATGCAAGCAATGTTAAAATGGTCTTCAGCATAAGTCCCAAGTACACAGATAGTCTCTTACAACAACAGGAAAATGAATTACTAAAAATATAGGAAATTAACATTTGTGTTATATTTCATATAATATTTAAGTTGTGCCAGTATCCTTGAAAGAGTCCTGCCCTCTTCCTCTAGAAAGTCTCTTTCTGTCCTTTCCGCAGACACAGCTAATAAAATGAAACCAAACCAAACCAACCCACTGCTGTCAAGCTGATTCTGACTCAAAACAGCCTTGCAGAACTGCCCGTTGGGTCTCCAAAGCTTTAACTTTGTCAATCCAAACAACATTATCTCCTAGTGGTTGGTGGGTTGGAACTGTTAACCTTAAGGTTAGCAGCTAACTCTGAAAATTGCTTTGTCATCAGGGCTCCCTGCCACTACTTGCTGCTGTCTAGTTCATTCATGGCAACCCTCCCATGGGTTTCTAAGCATGTAAATATTTGAGGGAGGAGATAACATCATCTTACTACCATTCTGGGTGAGGGAATCTTCTGGTTAACAGTTCAAGACATTAACACAATGTGACCGACCAGAACTAAACCCCATGCTGTTGACCTGGTGTAGCCTTAGACACCATCAGGTTAGATACCATCTGAGGCCATAAATCTTTACAGGACACAACTATCCCCCTTTATCCCACAAAACAGCTGGTGGATTCCAACTGCCAGCCTTGAGTTAGCAGTTTAACAGTGCATCACATCACCAGGGTTCCTCATTCTATTACAAGAAACAGTTTAATTTAGGTTAAGGAGGTCACTTGGTTTCCAAATTTTCTTATTTTCCTTAAATAAAAATTTATTCTTTCCTTGTAATGGAAGTGTTGCTTGAGACTCCTTGACCTACTGGAAGGTCCACTGTGAGTCAGTACCAATTCAAAGGCCCATAACAGTAACGTTCTTGTACATTATGTGCTGTTGAGTAAGAGTCATAGTGACTGAACAGCAGATCTGTCTCATGCCACCATCATCTCTGATCTGCAAGGCCAATGTTAAAAATTACTTTGTCAGTTGTTCACGTTAAGGGTTTGTCTTCTGCTTTTTTCCTGACCCTCTGTCTTTCGAAGCATGATGGCTTTTTCCAAGAACTGACCCTGCTAACAATATGCCCAAAATAAGAGACGAATGGTGGGGAGCTCTGGTGGCCTAGAGGTAAGAAACTGCTGCAATCCCAAAGGTGCATGGTTCGAATCCAGATGCTCTGCTGGAGGAGGAGGTGCCAGTGCTAGTCGGGTCTGATTCGACAGAGCAGGGGTCCAGGGTAACAAAACCAAAATACGTGAGATGGATGAAGTTTGACCATGCTTGCCTTTAAGTATCACCTTGGCTGTACTTTCTCTAAAACATAATTTGTTCTTTTGGCAGTCCATGAAATATTCAGTACAACTCAAAAGGCATAGATTCTTAGCCAAAATTCACTGCATTAGAGTCAAAAACCTTTGACAATGGGCTGTCTTAACTACTTTCCTATTATAGGTAGTGAGAAAGTTTTCTGACATTTTTACATTATATAGGTTCCAGCTTGCTTAAGTTTTAGTATTAACAAATTCTCATTCAAAAGTACCCCATTGGAACTCTATTATTAATATGATTTGCCTAACTTTCATAACATTTTTAGACCATTTGTCTCAAACTTTCTTAAATATTTTTGAACAGCGAGTTACTATAATCAAGGATGCTTTAGGCAGAACATTAAATGATCCAGTCACTGTATCAAAAATAATTGGCAGACACAGAAGAATTTAATGAAACAACATATGAGCAAGAGCCTATGGTGATGAAGAAGTTCAAGCTCCTTTGAAGGAAATAGCAAAAAATAAGGCCCCAGGAAAAGATGGAATACCAATTGACGTATTTCAACAGACAGATGCTGCCCTGGATGTGCTCACCAAGTTGTGCCAAGAAATCTGGAAAATAAAGAGGCTGGGCTCTACGAAGAGTGTGGCATCAGGATTGGTGGAAGGTGGAAGATCTATTAACAATTTGTGTTATGCAGATGACACAACTGCTTGCTGAAACTGAGGAGGACCTCATGCACTTACTGGAGAGGGTCAAGGACTGCAGCCTTCAGTATGGCTCAATGTCAAGAAGACAAAGATTCTCACCAAGGGACCAATTGGCAACATTAGGGTGGATGGTGAAGAGGTTGAGATTGTTAACAACTTTAGTTTGCTTGGCTCCATGGTCAACACCCTTGGCACCAGCAGCCAGGAAATTAAAAGACGTATTGCGATGGGAAAGTCTGCTGTTAGGGACTGCTCCAAAGTACTGAAGAGCAATGGTGTCTCTCTGGAGACTAAGGTGTGTCTGATACAGGCTATGGTCTTTGCAATCCCTTGTTATGCATCAGAGAGTTGGACACTGACTAGGGAATAGAAGAATTGATGCCTTTGAGCTGTGGTGCTGGAGAAGAGTATTGAATGTACCATGAACTGCCAAGAAAACAGATTCAACTTGGAGAGGGTTAAACCAGGCTGCTCCTTGGAGGCAAGGATTCTG